GTGGCTAGGGGCGACGGGGCCAACGGGGCCTTGGAGCGCGGCTAAGGGCGACGGGGCCAGCGGGGCCGAAAGGGGCGTGGCTAGGGGCGACGGGGCCAGCGGGGCCGAAGGGGCGCGGCTAGGGGCGACGGGGCCAGCGGGGCCGTGAGGTGGCGACGGGGCCGAAGGGGCGCGGCTAGGGGCGATGGGGCCAACGGGGCCTTGGGGCGCGACTAGGGGCGACGGGGCCAACGGGGCCTTGGAGCGCGGCTAGGGGCGACGGGGCCAGCGGGGCCGAAAGGGGCGCGGCTAGGGGCGACGAGGCCAGCGGGGCCGAAGGGGCGCGGCTAGGGGCGACGGGGCCAGCGGGGCCGTGAGGTGGCGACGGGGCCGAAGTGGTGCGGCTAGGGGCGTCGAACGAGCCGGGGCCTAGAGGCCGTGGGCAACGGGGCCGAGGGGCCGTGAGCGACGGGGCCTAGGGGCCGTGGGGTGGCGCGACGGGCCTAAGGGGCGCGACGGGCCTAGGGGGGTACTAGCAGCATAGAAGGTGGTGGTCCCAAGAAAACCTACTCTGATTCCATGTCAAAGTTACAAGCAAGAATGAGTGAACTATGAATGAGTTGGGTACAAGTACTAACCCTAATTGGGTTGTACCCCTTATGGGCTACCCCACTTCAGCCTACACAAATGTATAAGCTATAATGTTCTGACACTTTCTTGCAGGGCAGCCTGCACGAGGAGATCTAGCTGCGCCGCCCACCTGGCTTCACTTGTTCGTTTCCTGCAGGTACCCAGTGGAGCCTCCGCGGCCAGTCTACGGTCTCCGTCACGCGCCTCGCGAGTGGCACGACACACTGAGGACTACACTTGCGGCTCTTGGTTTCGCTCCCTTGACTGCTGACCCTTCACTGTTTCTGCGTACAGACACTTCTCTGCTGCCGTTCTACGTTCTCGTGTATGTAGACGACTTGATTTTTGCTACTGCTGACACTGAGGCACTGGCCCTAGTAAAGGCGGAGCTGCATTAGAGACACACCTGCACTGACCTCAGTGAGCTGCGAAGCTATCTTGGCTTGCAGATCACCCAGGACAGAGCACGCTACACCATCACCCTGACTCAGTCACCCATGGTGTAGCAAGTCCTTCAGCGCTTTGGCTTCCAGTTCTCCTCGCCACAGCCCACTCCTCTGCCTACAGGCCACTTGCTCTCAGTGCCACCTTCGGACGAGTCCGTAGAGCCGAGTGGTCCGTACCCAGAGCTTGTGGGTTGCCTCATGTACCTGATGATGTGCACATGACCTCACCTCGCGTACCCTCTCAGCCTTCTGGCTCGCTACGTGGCTCCCGGTAGACACCAGTGGAGGGCAGCGGTACTCACCAAGTTCATAGAGAACGAGGGGAGGTGAAGACCTGACAATGAGCCGGACGGAACTGCCGGACACGGGAGAACAGTGGAGGAACGGGCAAGGACTGGGCCCCCGGAGGGGTCAGCCAGTCTGACCGGTACAGGTGCAGAGAGAGGAGTGAGGGTGGTGCTGTCGCGAAAGAAACAGCGTGAAGCACCTGAGTCAAGCGTAAAGGTGTGCAAGGCCTCAGCAGCCCGAGCACCTGTGCGAATGATGTACGGGCAGCGAACACTACTCCGAGACGCCCCACGCTGAGCGTACCACTCACGAAGCTGCTGAGGCGTAATGGTCACGCGCGGACGTCGCTGCAGCTGCACAAGGCCACCGCCAGAAACTCCCAACTGAACAGCTGCACAGCGACTGCCACTGCTGCCACCGCCACCACTGCCACCGCCACCACTCCTACTAGCGTACCACTCACGTAGCTCCTGGGGTGGAAGGGACTCACACTGACTCCACTGCAGCTGCATCTGGCCACCGCCAGAAACTCCCCACCGAACAGCTCCACAGTGACTGCTAGTACGGCCGCCACCACTCCCACTGCTGCCACCACCGCCATCACCACTCCCTCCGCTACGATGAAGAGAAGTCATAGCAGGTAAGCTAGGTGGCGCGCGACCAGTAGGGCAGCACGGAGGGAAGGCAAGGCGGTTAGCAGGTACCATGGCCGCAAGAGGGCGTCGATCTGGCTGCAGGCAAGCGGCGAGCGGGCAGCAAGGGGCGGCTAGGGGGCTAGGGGCAGGGGGCGGAGCTGCAGGGGCGGCGAGAGGGCCGCAAGGGGCAGCGCGCGGGGCTGCAGGGGCAGCTCGCGGGCTGCAGGGGAAGAGAGCGGGCCGCAAGGGCGGGGGGGGGGGGGGGGGTGGCGCGCAGGGCTGCAGGGGCGGCGAGCAGGGCAGCAGGGGCGGCGCGCGGGATGCAGGGGCAAAGGGCGGGCCGCAAGGGGCGGCGCGCGGGGCTGCAGGGGCGGTTCGCGGGCTGCAGGGGCGAAGCGCGGGGCAGCAGGGGCGGCGCGCGGGGCTGCAGGGGCGGCGAGCAGGGCAGCACTGGCGGCGCGCGGGGCCTAGGGGCAGTTCGCGGGCTGCAGGGGCGAAGCACGGGGCTGCAGGGGCGGCGCGCGGGGCTGCAGGTGCGGCGAGCAGGGCAGCATTGGCTGCGCGCGGGGCCTAGGTGCGGTTCGCGGGCTGCAGGGGCGAAGTGCGGGGCTGCAGGGGCGGTGCGCGGGGCTGCAGGTGCGGCGAGCAGGGCAGCACTGGGTGTGCGCGGGGCCTAGGTGCGGTTCGCGGGCTGCAGGGGCGAAGCGCGGGGCTGCAGGTGCAGCGCGCGGGGCTGCAGGTGCGGCGAGCAGGGCAGCACTGGGTGTGCGCGGTGCCTAGGTGCGGTTCGCGGGCTGCAGGGGCGAAGCGCGGGGCTGCAGGTGCAGCGCGCGGGGCTGCAGGTGCGGCGAGCAGGGCAGCATTGGCGGCGCGCGAGACCTAGGGGCGGTTCGCGGGCTGCAGGGGCGAAGCGCGGGGCTGTAGGGGCGGTGCGCGGGGCTGCAGGTGCTGCAAGCAGGGCAGCACTGGCGGCGCGCGGGGCAGCAGGGGCGACGGGCGGGCCGGGCCTAGGGTCGACGGGCGGGCGGGGCCTAGGGTGGACTGGCTGGCGGGGCCTAGGGTCGACGGGCGGGCCGCAAGAGGCGGGCGCGCGGGGCCTAGGGTCGACGAGCGGGCCGCAAGGGGCGGGCACGCGGGGCCTAGGGTTGACGGGCGGGCCGCAGAAGGGCGGCGCGCTAGTAGGGTAGGGCAGCTAGTGGGGCAGCTCTGTGGTGGGCCCTAAAAAAAACCGGTCCTAGCGAAGGACCTGCTCTGAAACCATGTCAGAAGAATAAACGAGAATAAATGAACTATGAAAGAGTTGGGTACAAGTACTAACCCTAATTGGGTTGTACCCCTTATGGGCTACCCTACTAGAGCCTACACAAAGTAAGCAATATAACATTCCGACATAATAAATAACACATCTATCAATGTATTTATCAATTACGCACAAATTTTTATCTGTTTCACATTATTAACACTTTTATGAATACTAATATGATATTAACTACAATATTAATTTATAAATTTTCTGATATTGCTCTTTTATAGGCACGGTACAGGCACAGAATCCGTTTAATAATTGTTTTAGAGTTTAGTGTTTTCCTTGAATTGTGTCGCAAAAAATGAGTGCGTCATTTCAGATGTGTTGTAAATTGCAGTAACGTTTTCTTTATTCAAACTTGTATGTTGGTTGAATGTATAACATTGTAGTGAATTCTGTCACTGGTACGTATTATCATGTACACCGAACTCGCAAAAAGACAAACGCGTTCACATCGTTAAAGCCAGGATCTCAAGTACCACAAATGTTTTGCAGTTGATGGTTGGAGCTTGGCCGCGATTGGTCGACGAGGTGCAAGGGGTGCAGCGAGGGGTGCGAAGGAAACTGAACTCGTTTGTGTGTGTCCGAACCTTGTAGGCATGGAGTTTGGTTCGGATCCGAAGCTAGAATGCCACAAATTTGCTGACAGTCTCATGTTTCTGAAATTGTTTTGCATTTGGTGCTGGGGCAAAAGCTTGGGAGTGTCGCACGCCAAACTGCCTAGCCAACCAGTCTACTTCGCATACAGAAACGGGGTAACTGAGCGTCAACTGTTTTGCAATTGATCCCAATTTCTCTTACTTGAGATCCTGGCTTTAAAGTTCCTAGAATCCATACTGTATTCATTCCGGGGGCACGAGATGATGTGGGGTGTCAGCTTTTTTGCCTTCGTTTCGTTCAGTGACTATCCGTGATAGAATTTGCTAGTAGTATGTGAGGATCTGTGATAACCTATTGACGACCCGTGATAGATTCGCCAGTACAGATGACGAACAGTGACGTTTTGTGATAAATGTTCACTGTTGATGACGGGCCATATAAAAACCCTAACATGAGCCGCAAGTGTCAAACACCACTTGTTGGTCCGCACAACGCTAACCTCACGAGGCTTCCTGTAGGCTTCCTCACCAGGCGAATGTCCGCACAAATTCAAGCAAGCCAAATCAACCTCGGGAGCTAGCATCAGCCTCCGCACAAGTTATGCGGGGCAGCAACATCCGCGGAACACAACCAGCATGAATAGAAAATACACGGAAGGCTACCACGGTCAAATTGGTGCTGAACCCTAAAACGCCTGCAGAACAACGCCTAAGTTCGTCTTCTGACCCTGGCAACACAAGAAACATTCTGACGTAACGGAATCATCGACTCCCCGAGCATGGCACAGATGAACATGCGCACCCCCATCCATCTGTAATCACCGAAGTTACGAACTTACGGATTGCCAACACATCGAGCATAGTGCAGCAATTTCGTGGATTGACGTGCGGTACGCCGTGCGCCTCTCCACCCCACCTCCACCCTGAATCGCGCTGCTGCGCGCTGGTGCGTGCAGCCCTCCTCCTGCCCATCGCGCCGCGCCGGCGAGCGTAACCTGCGCGCGTAACCCGTCGTTAATCGCACATGTGCGCCCGCCTCCCACGTTTGATTCCTCGCGCAAGTTGAAGTGCTGTAGCGAGGTTTGGCCTAACCTGCTCTTCTTGCGCCGCAGTGCAGAGATGCGGCCGTTACCCGCGCTCCCCAGCACAACGCGTAACGCGTAGTCCTCCGCGCAGCACGCTACGGCACAGCCAGTCCCGCCCCGCCCGCCATGCGGCAAGTAACCGCCACACCCCCATCAGCAAGCGGAGGTGCGCCCCGCCCCCACCACCGTTTGATTGCTTTCGTTGAACGCAGCTTTTCTCCCCGCCGCCGCCCGGACACCCATTCGTCCCCCCTTATCGTGCATTCTCGCTCACGCTTCTCCCCTCCTCTCCGCCCACCGCCGCCAGTTCCCCCCTACCGCCGCCCTTCCGCTGCGCGCCTCCTACTACCCCTTGCGCTCCGCTCCCCCCCCCCCCCCCCCCCCCCACCCCGCCCCCCCGCGCTCTCCCCTTCCCCCCATCCCCCCCCTTCCTTCAACCCCTCTCGTACCTGCCCGTTACTTTACACTCCTCCTTCTGCCGCCGTTGATCCCTCACCTTCCCTATCGCCCCCCTCCTCTAAATCATCAGTAGTGCTTATCAATCAAACTATGCATTGAGCGCCATGCTGCAGCCATGCGTGCATTCAGCGCCAGCGGTGACCTGCACAGACTCACCCAAGAATATAGACCCCTCCCTCCTCTCGCTCCCCTCCCTCCCCTCCCTCCCCTCCTTTATCCAGGATCATTGTCACAGCACGCTTCACACGCTATGCATGTGCACCGCTGCGCACCATTGCACACCGCTGCTCACCTCTGGCTCTTGATGCACTCATGGACGCAAAAGAACGGTTTGTTAGATGCTGAAACCGACAATTGCTAGCTGATTGAAAGGCCTCCAAACTTCCAAACCCTTGATGTGCCGCGATTGCTAGCATGGCAATTTGGGAGCCTCAAGGAGCCACAAGCATGGCTCAAAGCGCGCACACTCGTGTGGAGGCAGCACTGGGAGTGCAAGGAGTTGGAGAAGCGGCAGGGTCGCCTTGGAGTTTTGAGACGTCTCAAAGCGCGCACACTTGTGTGGAGGCAGCACTGGGAGTGCAAGGAGTTGGAGAAGCGGCAGGGTCGCCTTGGAGTTTTGAGACGTCTCAAAGCGCGCACACTCGTGTGGAGGCAGCACTCGGAGTCCAGGGAGTTGGAGAAGCCGGACGGCCGCCTTGGCCTCCCGACAGCCTGCATCTCTCTGCTCGTTTCCAGGCTGCTAGGCAACAAGGAGAGCCGCCCCGGCAGCATGTGCCGCCGTTACACCATGGGCGGCTGCTAAGGCGTGAAGGGGTGCTGCAACTGTGTTGGGTACTTACAGCGTGGGCGGCGGTGTGCATTGCCAGTGCAGGGGGGCTGGCTGGTGACCGCGGCGGCCTCAGAGGTACGCGCTCCTACTGTGCTTTGCTGAATGGTGCTGAGTGGTGCTGAGCGATCCGCCTTTCAAACCCCCTAATTGATTTTTAAGGCGCCTGAATAGATGTTGAAAAGCGAGGTCTTTGAGGTACGCTCTGTTCGTATGATGTGATGCATAGCGGTGCTCAGTGGTCCGCCTCACGAGCCTTTAATGCACCTCTCGCCTCCAACGCTTCCCCGTGCACCACCATTACACCACACCACCATCATGGAGTTTGTTTCTCTGTCCTAAACAGCAAGATTTGATGGAAATAAGGCCTCCGCAGCCCACCTGTTCCACTTCGACAGCTCCTGCACCACCTTCACACCACTCTCACCCCACCCTCATACCCCCTTTCACCCCACCTCACGCCCCCCTCTCTCCCTCTCCTCTCCCCTCAACCAGACTGTGCGGACATCTTGGCAGCAGGAGTGGCTCTCACGCCCACCACCGCCTCCCCTGCCACCTCCGCGCCCCCCTCCTCCACCTCCGACTCGAATAAGACCTCCTCCACTGTAGATAACACCTCCACTGTAGATAGCACCTCCCCCAACTCTACCGCCAGCAGCAGGAGGGCGGGCGAGTGGGGGCACCACCGGCGGTACGAGCGGCGGGCGGGGGAGTGCTGGAGCCGGGCGGAGCTGCCTTGCTATGCGGGCATCAGCAGACACACGCGGGCGCAGCAAGAGCAACAACCAGGCGAAGAAAACACGGACGGATTTTCCTCCAAGACAGCTGGGCAGAACGAACAGCAGCAGCATGGGATGTCGGAGCAGCTGCAGGTGAAGCTGCGGCAGTACCACACGTACCGCCGCGAGTGCCTCCACCGCGAGCCCCTCCACCACCTGCGCTCCACCCTGCTGACCGGCAAGCCCACCTCTTGCCGCTACCTTGTCTTCTACCACCCCTCTGATGGCCAGGGCAACCGCCTCATCTCCCTCGTCTCCGCCTTTGCCTACGCGCTGCTGACCGATCGGATCTTCTTGTTGAGTTCTAAGAGTGGGCTCGCTGCCGTGCTGTGTGAACCGTTTGAGCACGGCGAGTCGTGGGTGCTGTTTGGGCGCGAGGAGAAGCTGGAGGAGCATCATGCGCAGGTGCTGCGAGTGAAGGTGGCCAGGGAGTGGCGGGAGGTGAGGCAGGGGAGGGAGAAGATGGGGAAGAAGGGAGGTGGGCGGAGGAGGCTGGTGGAAGGGTTGGTGCAGGGGGGGAGAGAAGGGCGGTGGAGGGAGCAGTGGCTTGGGGAGTGGCAAGAGCACTTGGGAAGGGAGAAAAATGAGGAACAGCTAGAGAAGCATCTAGGGCAGCCGCGTTTGCTGCAAAGCATCAATCTAAACACTCGAGCACCACCAGCAGCAGCAGCACCACCACCTCCAACAGCGCCAACAGCAGCAGCAGCAGCAGTTTCTACACCCACCTCTCCAATGCTTCCTCCTCCAATGGCCCCATCACTTCAACTCCCACCCGTACCTCCCCCTCCCCCTCCCCCTCCCCCTCCACCCCCACTTCCACTGATCCTTCCCATGCCAACCCCACCACTGCCACCCACTGCATTGCCACCACTGCCAACACCACCACCACCACCACCACCACCACCACCACCACCAACAGCACCAACACCAACACCAACAACACCAACGCCATTCCCAACACCACCACCACCAGCGGCAGCAGCAGCAGCACCCCCCCCACCACCTCCGCTACCACCACCCCCACCTTTACCCTCTCTGCCTCCCCCTCCACCACACGAAGCGCCAGCAGAAGGGGAGGGCGAAGTACCACCAGTGTATGTCATCCATTCCAATGCCATCCCATGCTGTCCCATGCCATTTCGTGCCATACCATTGTGTGTACCATGCCATGTGTGTGTGACATGCCCATGTGTGTGTGCTATGCCCATCTATGTTGCGGAAGACGCGTCTAGCGTCTTAGACGGTTGCGTCTAGACGCAGCGTCTAAGACGCTAGACGCATTTCAGGCCAGATTAGACGCATATTAGACGAAACCCCGGGCAGGCCAAAAAAATAGTACGGGCAGCCTAAAAAATCTTCTATAGGCCATGGGAAGGGGGAGGGGGAATGGGATGAAGACGACCTCTGGGTATAGCAGACGAATTAGTCTGCTGGGACATTCATCGAGATCTAGAACTTCTAGATCTAACATTGACGCTCACAATTGGTTGGGTTTTCTAGATTCAGTGCGGTGAAGATCGGTAATGGGAGGCGGAATTGGTTGGTCACGAAATGGTTCACAAATCTGTTGGCTGCGGGGGACGAATTCCAATTTCGACTTAGCTTTCCGTTTCTCAATTTCTCTCACACCTCCTCCGATGCTTCTTCTAGAACGTCTTTATTTGGCCGGCTCATTGTAGAGCAGAGGCGTGCAACACTTTAGTCCTAGCTGCTGATACTATTATAAGGCGTGGGGCTAAAAGCTAGGTTTGGGGGATGTTATCAAGGTCGAAATGGATGGGAGGGGTTGAAATTTCGCACGCGATTTTTTTTTTCGGGCTGACCGAAATTTTTTCCCCCATGCGTCTAGCGTCTAAAGGTGCGTCTTGCGTCTAGCGTCTAGACGCTAGACGCAGGACGGTCCCTGCGTCTTCCGCAACATAGATGCCCATGTGTGTGTGCCATGTCCATGCATGTGTGTCATGCCCATGTGTCTGTATGATTGCCATGGCAATTCACGGTAGTGCCATGCCATCACTCAATCGCATGCCATGACTCAATGCCATGCCATCACTCAATCCCATGTCACTCCGCGTTCTCGTCTCTCCGTCCCCTCACTCCCCAAATCCCCGCTTACTTCCTTCCCCATTCCCCCCCAAACCCCCCCATCCTTCCAATAACCCTCCCCCCAGTCTACGAGTGGACATTTTTCACTCGACCCCTTCCTCCGGTTTCCTCTTCTTCTGCGAATCCGAGCAGCAATGGCTCTCTCGCACCCCCACGCTCGTCCTCTCCTCCAACCAATACTTCCTCCCCGCCCTCTACCTCCTCCCCTCCTTCCGCCGCCGCCTGCTCCTCCTATTCCCCTCCCACCAGCCCTTCCGCTCCCTCTCCCGTCTCCTCCTCTTCCCCCGCAACCGCATCTGGGCGCAACTCACCCACCGCTTCCACACCCTCATCGCCCCCGCGCCCGCGCGTATTGGCCTGCAGGGCCGCTTCCCCACGCACGCGAACGAAGGTCGACTGCGGTACGACACGGTGAACATGGGTCGGTGCCTGTTGGATGCTCTCAACTCGTCGGTCCTGCAAGAGGCAAGGGAGATGAGGCTTGGGGCGGATTGGGAAGAGGGCGGGCAAGGGAGGGGGGTGGTGGAGGGGGCTGGGGCAGCGGAAGGAGGGGAGTTAGGGAGAGTTTTCGCAAGCAGTGGCAGCAGTAGCAGCAGCAGCAGTGGCAGCGGTGGCAGTGGGGATGACTATGGGATAGAGGAGCTGTCAGGGAATGTGACAGAGGTGATGGTGGCGTCTCTAAATGCTGCTCTGGTGCATAACCTGTCAGCGGCAGTGACAGGCAACGTGAGCGCAGTGCGAGTGAGTGTGGGGCATGACGCCACACATGCTGCCATGGGTGTTATACTACCGCCCATTAACACCAATGCTGCTTCTCCTGCTCTTCCTGCTGCTACTCCTGCGCCCACATCTCCAGATGTAGCCAACAGCAGCAGCAGCAACAGCGCATCCGACACCCACGTGCACATAGTCCGGCTAACAATCGATGAGAAGCAGAACAATGGCGACAAGGCGGGAGTGGACCGAGCCATGGTGGACATCTACACGCTCGCGCTCTTCTCAGACGCCCTCGTCATCTCCGAGGTCTCCACCTTCGGCTACCTCTGCGCCTCGCTCTTCGGCGTGCCCCGCACCACCTTCGTCAGTGCCACGTGCAAGCGAGCGCCGCCAGAGCCGTGCTTGCACTTCCCACCGAAGAATGAGCGGTGCCCGGACGGGCAGGCACAGGTGCTGGAGCAGGTGTTGGCTCAGGACCCGCATGTGCCACTCATGCACTGCGTGGATGTGAAGAATGGGCTCACATTGAAACCCCTGGAAGGGTGGGAGTAGGGCTCCTGAGTAGGGTACGGTAGGTGGAAATGATGGGGTTCGTGGCGGGTGCGCACCCCCATGTGCCGCGCTCATGCACTGTGTTGATACCACGAGAGGGATCACGCGGAAGCTGTGGGAGTTGGATTCACAAGGTTAAGATTATCATGTCAGAATGTAGCCTTTTGCATGGCAGAAGCTCACGCTTAAAGTGTTGTGCTGTAATAACGAGGTCCTGCAGTTTCATTCTTTCATTGTAACGCGTATTGTGTGAGGGTGGGGGGGAGGGAAGGGGTGGTGTGGTACACTGTCTTGATACACCGCTACGGTATGATTGAATAATGTTGATTGTGTTGAGATAATATCGAGACTTAAGCACTTCAAGGAATTTGTGTAGTACAGTGCGAGACTTCGCACGTAATAGTAAGGCTGACGTCAGCAAAGCGCTACGCGCCCTAGGATGACGTCAGCACGTAGCTATAGGCCTCGCGAATAGTCACGTACCGTTTCAGAACAAGAATAGCGTGAATAATACAGTACAGTAGGCGAACGGGTACTTTACTCTATCTCTATATTCTGTATGCTTGTCATTTTATAATATATCTGATTTCAGAGACATAGATCCTGAAAAATATCACTACATGGGCTTTTATTAGTCCAGACAAAGCCTCCTATAACTGGCTTTAACTCATACAAGACTTCCGCTACGACAAGAAGCTACCATCCTAAGTATTACGATCCTACTCAATCATTTCAAATTCTAACATGGTATTGCGAGCGTCTTAGGATTCTACAAGCTTCCAACTACATACTCTGCAACTATGTCTGGCTCTCCACGATCCAACAACGGCTCTTCTGTTACGAGCCCATCACGCCCAACAGCGTCTCCAGCTGCTGACAATTCTTATCTGCAACAACAACATCAAAAACAACAATATCAGCAACAACCGATGTACGGCATGCCACTGAGCAATCAGTCCGTACACACAACCGCAGCAGCGGCATCATCGGCAGCAGCCGCAGCAACAGCAGCATCAGCAGCCACAACAGCTGCAGCTGCAGTAACTGGTTCTTCTAATCAACCAGGACAACAGTCTAGTTTCGTACCGACAGGACCTTATCAATATCAAGGTGCTTACCAGCCAACAAATCTTCAACAGCGTGTCAATGCTGCCGTCTTGTCACTTAACCAGATGTTTCCAACTCCTATGAGTCTTGATGGCTCCAGTTATCAGCATGGACAGATGCCACAAGGGAGCGACGGGTCGAACAACTCCTTCTCCTTTGTTCCTGCTGGACAAGGACAACAAGCACCACAAGGGTCACAGATGCCATCACTTTATCAGTTACAGTCAGCTGATGGCACCGGAAACTATCTTCCTGCTACTGCAAACCCAACAAAGGTTAAAACGACAATACCATTTAACGGTCAAGACTTCTATACCTGGAGTTTCGAATTCGAGCTTCTTGTTCAGACCGCGGGATTCTGGCAATTGTTCGACGGCACAGCACCCTTTCCATCTCACGGCTCACCACTTCAACATGCCACTTTTCGATCGGCGTCGCTGACTGCATACACAGTTCTCATTCGCAATATGACACCGACTGAACAGCTTGGTATTCGTCCTTTTCGTACCAGTGCCGCTCCCGCTGAAGCAGCTTGGTTATACCTGCAAGGGGTTTACATGGCAAAGGACACCGTCAACCAGAGTAAAATCTTGACGCAGCTGTCAAATATACAGATGATAAATGGAGAGAAGGTGACGTAGTATATCAACCGTGCTCGAAATCTGCGCGACCAGCTTCAGAAGTGTGGAGGATACTTCCCCGACGCTATGTTTCACACGGTGCTACTCGTGGGTCTTGGACCAGAATGGTGGCAGTGTCGCTCTATTCTTCGGATGCAAGCAACGTTGTCTGAGGGGGCACTCTGTGCTGCTCTCATCGCTGAGCAGCAGGATATGGACCCGCACAACGCTCGAGGAGGGAAAAAGGTGGTAAACAATACAGTCAGTTTTTATTCAACTCCACGTCACAAGCCCGTTTGTTCCTTTTGTCGCAAAGCAGGTCATACTATCGATACCTGTTGGTCGAAGGATAAACCATCTTGGAAGCGGTCTGCATCGAAACACACCAAAGATTCTTCAGGTGAAGCTGAGAAGCCGGAAGCTGAGAAGCCGGAAGCTGCGAAGCAGAATACTGCGAAGCCGAACTCTGCGAAGCCGCTTGCTACACCTGTCAAGACACAAGCGAAAGAAGTTATTAATTGTATGACGTCAGTTTCTACCATCTACGACCCTGACGCCGAAGAACGTGTTCATAATAACTTCAACGATGAACTCAATACGCCCATACCACCCGAGGTCTACGCCAATCTTGCACATACCTTGGAAGGACCTAACACTTGGTATCTCGACAGTTGTTGCGGCCAGCATATGTGTTCATCAGAAAACCGTTTCGTCATCAATCAGCGTCGTCTTCAGAACCCATGCGTTGTCACCGTTGCCAACAATCAACGTCTTACAGCACGTTGGATGGGTAACATCATTCTTGATTCCGTTGAAGAAGACTTCAGTCTTCACCTCAATGATGTACTTCTCGTTCCTCGACTTAGCTTCAATCTGATGTCATCTGCACAGCTCATGAGGAATGGGATTACTCTTCTTGGCGAACCTGGAAAATTTACTTTGAAATATGGAGACAGGAAACTCGGCACGGCAATCGAACAGAACGGTGTATTCGTCCTCAACTTCGTACCTGAGCGCACCACTGCCGACTCCAAAAATATCCTCTCTTTCGGCCCATGGGAGCATCGTGATGACATCGATTACACCGATGATACCGTTCCCCGTGAAGGAGTTGTACCCACGTCTTCAACCACGGCTGCCGCTGTCATGCTGACCTTCGACAATCAAGGCTTGAATGATGTCCATAACTCCCGACATTATCTTGCTCAAGTTGGTGGTTGGGGCGATACAACGAATATGCCCACGGGTGAAGGCGCTTGGGGGGCACAGGAACCTGACGAGACCACTTGGGGAGAAACTCCTGCTGATCGTGATCAACGTCTTCTCACTGAAGCAGAGCAGCGTGTCGCTGACATGGAAGTCCTCGACTCCGGACGACTTGTCGGCGTTGAGCCTAAACCTGCAGCATCAGATCAAGAGAGCGGGGAGTTAATTCTTTCCCCTGGCGAATACATCGACGTTGACATAAAAATTCCACAACCTAACTGTCAAACATAATAGTTTAGGGGCCTAGGGTTTGACCTAGGCAAGAGTGACGAGAGGAAAAGTGCAAGCCAAAAAGGGGTTCACTAATGAGAATAGAAAGTACAAATAGGTAAACAGCAACACAAGGAGGTGCACCACCAAACATGATGCAATATCTACACTACAACTGCAAACGATTATATAAAATATGTAAACATATTTTGACACGCCCCCATAATTGATTGCAGGAGTAAGTGTAAAACGCCCCCTGACGGGGTGCACCAGGAGTGCAGCGGAAGAAACAGAAGCAAGCAAGAGCAGTAGTAGCCGGTGCAAGAGTGGCAAATACAGCTGTAGCACACCCTCAGCCAAGGCAGAAGCAGTAGCAGGTGTAGGGGCGGCAGGTCGCCTGAGGAGCAGGCTCTGTGGCTGCAACATGCAGCAGGACAGCAGCGGCTCGACGGCAGCACCTGCAGGCCCCAGCAGCAGACAGCAGAAACAAGGGCAGGTGGCGGCAGGGGCGGCAGCAGGAGGTGCCACGGTAGCAGCGGGTGGCAGCTGCAGATGCTTGACTGTTTTCCCACCACCCTCTCTTACCCTCCCCCCCACAGCAGCACGAGCGGCAGTGAGAGAGAGAGGAGGGGTGGCTGCTGGCTTTGCAGAATCTCTCTCGCCACCCTCTCACACTCCCCCCGTCTCCCCTCACCCTCCCCCCGCAACCTCTCCCCCCCCTTCACGGCGGACCCCGCTGAAGGGAGGGGTAGGACGGGCTGCAGGCAACTCACAGCCGCCACCCCCACATCTCCCTCCCCCCACGGCTGAAGCTGCGGAAGGGAAGGGGGGGGCGGCGTTAGCTGCCGCTCACGCAGATGCTGGCGACGGGGGCTGGTGCTGGCGCACACGGCCGTGCGCGGGTGCGCACGGTCGTACGCGGCTGCGCGCAGCAATGCGCGCCCGTACGCAGCTGCGCGCGGCTGCTGCTGTGTTCGTGACAGAACGGGGTGGGGCAGGCAACGCGCGCGACAAGCAGGGCGCAACGGGCGTGACGGGGAGGGCGCCAAGGACGAGACCGTTTCGACGGTCGCGACCGTTGCAGCCGTGGTAACTACGGCCGCAACGGGGGGCGTGACGAGCGCCATGAGCGAGGGGATACGTGGTGGGCCCATGGGGAAAAATAAAATAGGTCTTAGGACAACCTAGCTCTTAATACCATGTCAAACATAATAGTTTAGGGGCCTAGGGTTTGACCTAGGCAAGAGTGACGAGAGGAAAAGTGCAAGCCAAAAAGGGGTTCACTAATGAGAATAGAAAGTACAAATAGGTAAACAGCAACACAAGGAGGTGCACCACCAAACATGATGCAATATCTACACTACAACTGCAAACGATTATATAAAATATGTAAACATATTTTGACACTAACCTTACCAGGTTTATTCCACCTGTCACAGATCATGTTTGCGCTGACGGTCATCGGCTGCTGTTGTCTTTCTTCGCTAACGCCGATCATTATCTGCGCGCAAAGGGACACAAAGCTACTGCAGACACATGGCATAAGCGTCTTGGTCATCCGTCGCAGTCTACGCTCAACAACACAATCAAAGCCGCTGTTCTTGACAAGAATTCGCTTCTTTTACCTGGCGGCCTCGAAATGAAACCGGTCAATCATCCGTCACCCTGCTTAATCTGCCCAGCCGCAAATCTACCGCACGAACCGTACCCGTCTCATTTTCCTGGCGCTGAGGATTATCACTTGATGGAAAAAATTTACAGCGATCTTCTAAACTTACCTGCGGAGGGTTTCAATGG